ATGACAAGGGCCTGGGCAAGAAGTTGTGCAGCATGCTCTGTTTGAAAGGACCTGATCCTCCTGATGTTGTGCAATGCAAACCTGCATGATCGAGATGTCTTTACAATATGGTCCTTGAAGGTCAGCTGGTCACCAAAGAATGATTTTTGATGAACCTAGCAGGATGATGAAGTCATGCTGTAGAGTCGGAGTGGCAGGGAAACAAGAAGCTCAGCCTTTACCAGGTTGAGCTGCAGGTGATGTTCCTTCATCCATGCTGAGATGTCCGTCAGGTAGCCTGAGATCCATGCAGCTACTATTGGATTGTCTGGCTGAAATGAATGATAGAGCTATGTGTCATCAGCATAGCAATGGTAGGAGAAACCATGTGCTTGTATAATGGGTCCCAGTGATGCATTGTATATGGTGAAGAAGAGGGGTCCAAGAACTGATCCCTGTGACCAGTTGATGTTCTTTGGATACCTCTCCTCCCCAGGAACCCTGAAAGACCTACCGGTGAGATAAGATTCTAACCATTGAAATGCAGATCCTGTGATGGCAGACAGGATAATGTGATGATTCACAGTGTCAAAAGTGGCAGATAGATCCGTCAGAATAAGAATTGATGATTTGGAATCAGCTTTCGCAATCTGCAGGGCTATACTTACCGACAGAAAAGCAGTCTCATTTGAATGGTTGCTGCTGAAACCTGATTGGTTAACATTCAGTTGGTCATTCTGTGAAAGAAATAATGTAACTGTGTCTATAAAGGTGTGAACCAAATGGTCCATTCTATTAGAATAACAAAACAGATTCCCCAGGAACGTCTTGTAGATTGCAGGATCTCCAGTGGAAAGGTCCTAATAATATCTGTTGTTTCTAGCCCCTTTGTCTTCAGGTATAAAATTCTATCCCACAGACAGAACTTTGGGAGAAGCTAGGATTTATAGAAGGGTTAAGATTGTTTGAAGGAAGACATGCTAACATCGCTATTGAAGAACTGCTACACTACCATCTTCAATAAATTCTTCTCCCCACAAAAATTTTGGTCAAGCCTACTTAATTTTTTGCATTAGAGAAATCTAGTACATTGGTGAGCCACCCAAAAGACTGCTCAGCAAAAATAGAGATGATATGTAGTGAATCAGCTCAAAGGGGAAATATGAATAATTAATCATAACTAGTTATAATTAATTATAAATATTTAGATCCACTGTAAGTATTTACTTGACCTCTCAGGGTCAACTGTCAGTCAATTCTAAGAACGTTAATTTCCTGGTTAAGGGAAATAACTTTCTTACTGTACAATACTACACAGAGCATGTAGCATAAATCTGCATGATTAGGTAAAAAGGTGCAAATGATACTTAATGTATCAATTAATAAGACTAAGTTTGATACTTGCACGTCTTGTCTGTCTGACAGAGAGTCCTGATGCAATCTGAAGGCTCGAGTTGATCTTTGCTGAAGTTGGTTGATGGAAAAGAACCAGTTTGAGTCAGATGATCTTGGTGAATGGAAAGTCAAGGCCCGAGGCCTGGCGCGAACTTAGGGTGTCCTTAGGAGCATTCTAGCTCACATCTTCTCAGAATCTAACAGAACCGCAGACTAGAGGCGGGTCACTGATGTGAGGCCTTTAAGGTCTGAGAAGATTCACGCCTCTCAAGATGGGCTTGTCCAATGAGAAAGGTTGAAATCCCAAGCGGGAGGTTGCAATTACTGGAGGGATTTACGACCGTTTGTGTGAGGGCATGGTAATTTGCAAATGTAATTCACTTGGGTGTTGATGCACAAACTAGTAAAGATTCTTAGAACACTAATATGTTGCATAGGTATCAGCATGTGATATGCACTCTCAATTAGATCATCCGAAGATGAATTCATAGAGACCAAACATGGTAGGATTACATATAGGTAAGATGACATGAATGAGTGGTTCTATCATTAGCCTGCATAAAACAGTATACAATATAAAAGACAATATACAAGTACAGTAACAACATACACAATGACCTGAAGGATATGCGTGTTCATTCAAAGAAAAGTTTTCCTATGAATTAATTAGAGAACAGTCAATTTCTCTTGGCATTATGTGTCTTTCTTATGTGGAAAATGAGTTAGTTTCTCTACCCGCATTCCTTTGGGCAATAAAACCAGTGATATCAGCATTGGTTGCCATGGAATCAGAGGTCTGTTCTGCCTTTCTCAGGTGTTAAGATGCATTTCGGGGGAAGGGTCCATAGGCCCTCATATGGCTTGTTAACTGAGGGGTGTTACAGAGTATTTGTTAAATATAACTAACAAAATATATATTGTGTGTCTGATTGGTCCAGACACTACAGATACTACATGGATACTAAAGATGATGATACATGGGACAACTTTTTAGGTTAGAAGGGGTAGTATGCACTGGCCTGTCTGGACAGATATTGTCTTGACAAGAAGTTAAAGTGGATCATAAAGTGTCAGTTGCTGCATTTACACCCAGAGATGAGAAATGGGTGGGTGAGAGAAGAAAGGATGACACTACAGAGGAAATATGGCAGGGTGAAAGGGAGTGTAGGTTTTGCCTAAAAGTAACTGGTAGAGGAATTGGTGGCACACAGTTAGTAATATGTAGGTTAAATGTAATAAAGTTAATGTAATGTTAATGTTAATGTAATAAAGTTTTACCAAATGTTTTCGGTGTGATACAATAGAAATAGGGAAGTTGTTAAAACAGCAGGGCTCGTGGAGTCTTCTGGACGAATCCAGGTCTTAGTCAAGCCCAAGATATTAAGAGTAGACTGAGAAGCAGTGGCCAGAATGAAGTTTGTTGACAGCTGACTGACAATTCCAGAGACCCACAGAAAATGACAGAGATGCAGCAGAAGAGGTGCAGATAGGACGCAGCTTAGCAAGATTGCGTTGCCATCTGCGTGTGATGTTAGAGCATTGTTGAGAGAGAACAAGAATATATTGGAAACATACTACCGCCTACCTGATTCTGCCTGAGAGGTAAGGAAACACACTTGAGATGATATTTTTTTATATCTCTATAATAGAACTGTATGACTGTATTCTTGAAAACAATCTTTTATTGTACTATTGAATAAAATATTAGTTAAGCTGGTTTGTGTTGGGTGTTCTGGTGCAATATGGCTGCTGTCGCATCATCCAGGTGGATGCTGCACATTGGTGGTGGTTGAGGAGATTCCCCCTTCCATGTAAAGCACTTTGAGTACCCAGAAAAGCGCTATTTAAATGTAACAAATCAATAATTACTTAAAACAATATTTTATTGTACTATTGAATAAAAATGTATAGCCATAATATGGACTTTTGTAAATGGTGTGATACTGCGTTGCTCAGATACTGTTATATCCTTCTCACATTGCTGATTTCACCATTAACTCTTCACCTGAACAGTTTTTTATATATGGTATCATTGTAATCCTTGATCATCAAAACATTGGGGTAGACCACCTTTTCTGTGTTACCTTTTTTGGTTCAGGAGATATGACACAAAATACATAATTTGGTAATTAATTTGGCAACCACAAGGTGTTTTTGCAATGGCTCCATTTCTGAAAATGTTCAGGGTCCTAACCTGTACAATTGTACCAAGTTTCATGCTTTTATGAAAAAGTGAACATATCACTTCAAATTGTGCACATATCACCTGGATATATATATATAGATATATATTTTTTTACTACACATTTTGGGCTGTTTTTTTTAATAGGCGGGTTTTACGCTGTAGTTGGGCTAGAGATCTTCAGTCCAATCTGGCAACACTGGATGTGTTCATTTGACTTGAAGGAGTGCCAAAGCCACTAGAAGGAAAGCCTGCAACCTTTAGCCAAAAAAGCGTAACGGATAATGCTATCGCTTCCGCTTTGGCAGTATGTGGGAAAGGAGACCAGAGGCCATTTTTTTTAAAGGATGATTCAAAATGGTTGATGGTTTTTTATCAATGGAGGAGAGGCTTCACTACACTGTATAAACAGATTTTTAGAGGAAACAGCTTATCATTTAATGAATCAACAGCCTATCGGCTAATCTTCAACATGTTTTACACTAAACAATACTTTTGGATTAAACTATTTTTAGTTTACACCAAAAAAAAAAAAGCCATTTTATAAGAGAAGTCACTGACTTTTTGCGACAGGTGGGATTCAGCTTGCGGCACTTCCCATTCATTCCTATGGTGTCCGTAAACGGCGGTAGAGTTTTGCACAAATCTTTGACTGAAATTACATTACAGCCTTGACGTCATCGAATTTCAGTCAAAGATTTATTAAGGCACACGTGATCTAAGTTGACCGATACACTTTCTCCAATACAGACTATTTAAAGCATATTAAATAGTATTAGTCACAAACTTCTGGCTAAGGATCAAAGGAGTTTGTGTGACATAGATTCCTAATGAACGAGTAAATATAAGTAAAGAGTTAACTAGAATAATCAAATGTCAGAATAATGAGAAACCGACAAACAACCAATTTGCCTTTCAACCTAAATTTGAGGTCATACTAAAATAGAGTCAGATTTGAGTTAAACCTAAATTGAATAACTCTGCGCGCTGAAAAGACCGAACACGCAAGTAACCTTCATCCACCACTGGATACCTTCCTTGGGCCAAGTGCGTGGACCTTACACAGATAATACAGATGTAATCAATAAGACAAAGGACAGAAGCTCTACTTCAGTAGTCTCAACACAACTGAGATAAAGATACCCCAAATCACCAAACTGAAGGCTTCACAACAGCAGGTCTGGAGATGAAGGTGAGACCTCAGCCACTGCACACCATCTAGACACCACCACACCCACTGCTCTGTGGGTAGCTGTCGTTTAAATACTCTCTCTTCCCATCATCCAGTCATATCAGAGCTATAATTAGTAACATCTTGAGGTGATACTGGTTCTGCGGGGAGAAGGAGAGACACAGGGAGAGAGAGGAACAAAGCTTGGCACAACAACAGATCCTTATGGCTCTGGACATAACACTGGTCACATGGCAAACAAACAAATCCTTTTCATACCAGCAATCTGAACTCAAGAATGTCGTCTGACCCTGTTACATGGAAACAGTTAAATAAAAGACACATATTGTTATTAGAAGAAAGGCACAACAGAGAGAGTATTAATAAAACCCACAAATTAAATACTGTAATTAGAATGGACACCACTATGTAAACATTGCAATTATTGACATTTATTTTAGATATATATGATTTATATAAACTGTATAATTATTTGTGTCCCCTGAATTGTGTAAAAATATCATTAAACTATGGAAACCTTAATTTTTGTTGAACATCTCTGAATGCATATGATGCTGCTAAAAAGAACATTATTTTGTGTATTTGGTGTAATGAAATGTGTTTATGCGGTTTAAGGTTCAAAAAACACATTCTTTTCCACATACTGTACATTATTGTTTCTCCTCTATGCCCCGCCTTTCTGAAACGCATCGATTTTTACAAAGCTCATCGGTCTGAAAAAGCGAGGTGTGCTGTGATTGGCCAGCTATCCAGTGCGTTGTGATTGGCCGAATACCTCAAGCGTGTGACGGTAATGTTACGCCCCTTACCACATTGTGATGATGCCCTGTCAGGCCGGAGTGATGATTCAAAAACATGAAAACCCATTATAAACGAGGCATTCGTTGCATCCAGTGGGGACATAATTATGGATTATAATGACTTGTACTGTCTTTTTACGTGTTGCGTTGCGTTGCATCGCGCCGCGTAAACATAAAACCATGTCTGGATTTGTGATTGGAGAAATGACAAACAGCCCTACTCTACACTGCCCAAAAAAATCGCTTTATATATATAAAATATAAAAACTCTTTAAATATAAAAAACGGACTTACAGTCGTTGAGCCAGAACAGCCGGCATTGTAGTCTACTCTACCAGGATCAGGAAACGGTCCTCCATAAAATGCGCTGCACACATCTGAATATTTGGGTTGAAATGTTCTGGAACAGTGTTGCAAATACAACTTAACCACTGATTTCTAGTCGTGCCCATTTTTGGAAGGCCAAACAAAGTAGTTTCGCTTTCACAATGAAACACAGCGTCACACACGGCGGGATGAGTGAGCAGAGGCCAGGGGATAAAGTGAGGAACGGCCAGCGGGCTGAGTGAGCAGAGGTCGGGGGATAAAGTGAGGAACGGCCGGCGGGCTGAGTGAGCAGAGGCCGGGGGATAAAGTGAGGAGCGTCCGGAGGGCTTGCGCAACCACATGTGACGACCCCGGGCTGGACTCCGCTTCGTTCACGGTGAAAGCCGATCCGGCGATCCACAGCGCAAAGTTGTAGTATTTCCGCAGCAACCAACACAGACCAGCTCCAGGCATGACGAAGCAGATATCGTCCTCTTTTGGAAGGCCAAACAAAGTAGTTTCGGTTTCACAACGAATCAGCGCATTGACAACATGGCGGCAGCAACAATACTACAGCCAGAATAAAAGTTACGCCTTCTTTCTTTGCGTGAACATTTGGGCAGCAAATTATATTCTCCAGTTGTGTGTGTTTCCCCTGAAGCTGATTTTGTTTCTTTTCAACCTCTCTGACTATTTGCATCAGTTTAACATTAATGTCCTTAAGACGTCTGTCCTTGTCTTGAAGTTCTTCATCAAGTTTTTCTTTGTCTTTCTCCAGATCTTTAATCTTTCTATCTCTTTCTTCTAGAAGAGATTTTGTTTCTTCAAGACATTTGGATTTTTCATTCAACTCTGAGAGAAGCATAAGCATAATCCCAGATATGAGATCAAGTTATGCCCATAACAAACACTCATTTTAATATGTATGTGCTTGATCAAATTTCTTACCTGAAACCCTCAACCGTTCTTTCTGCTCCAACATGTCCTCATGTCTTATTTGCTCCTGTCTCAGTGTCTCCAGTAGTTGTTTACTGGTTTCCATCTCTTTGATTGCGCTTTCCAGTAGTTTCTCTTTCTCACTCATCTGTTTGCTCATATTCTCCAGTTCTATGTCTTTCTCCTCAAGCTGATTCTGTTTCTCTTCGATGTATTTAGTCATTTGTAGCAGTTGTTTTTCTATTTGTTGAATTTGTGATTATTTCATATCTAGGTATTTTTCATTTTGTAGGAGACCAGATTTTTCTGTGATTGTTTCTAATTGTTGTAAGACTCTTTCCAAATGTCTCCCTAATGTGTCTTTCCTGATCTATAAAAGACAAAGAAAATAAACTTTAACAACACTCACCTGTCATTAAAGCAGATTCCTCCATTATCAGTCTCCCCCCACTGTGGAAGTATAAAGAAAACATTCTTAAGAGCAGGGGCGGTTCTGGGGGGGTGGGTTTGCCCCGTGTCAACAAGCTGCCCTGCCAGTGTTTTGTTCAGTGCGCTCGCTCGCTGAATGAATTCTGCTCTCTGGCGAATTCTCTCATCATAAGTAACAAAGTGCAGATGTGCATACTGTACGAATGTAAGATATTAATTTCACAGTGTAAACAGCTTCAGTGAATTTAATGGGAGTTTTTGATATTGTTTGAACTTTGGCTAGACTGAAGTCAAAGATAATCTTCTTTGATAATGTAAATGTTCTTTGCTCTCTTTCTGTACAATTAAAGTGTTATATTAGTAACGTACAATGTTTTTATTAAATTCACATTAAATACAAAGTCAGTCATACATTTTATGGCAAGACACCCATCTGGTACTTAAGTAAAAAGAAGGGTTTTTACTATTATGCTACTTTGCCCATCACCCATTATAGATCAATACATAACATAATGTATTAAGGTGCAAAATGCGTTTATTTACACATATTATAAAATCGAGATATTTCATGATATAGTTAACACGTTTGGGAATATTTCGAATAAAAAGGAAAAAATAAATAAAACATAAGCCTATATCAGTTATTCAGTGCTATTGTGGCTGCTGTGTGTCACATGACGCCCCTGACACTACAATAGAAAATGACTTGTCAGATAAATGAAACATGATGAAACATTAATCTGAGTTTAAATGGTTATAGCTTACTTCTAGAGATTGCAGTGATACATGACATATGACTGATCACTGAATGAATAATACTGAAAGTTGGTTAAGATTAATTTTAAAAGTGTGCCCCCTAAAAGCACAAGTGGCCCCTGCCTGAAGAAAGTAGTTCTTAAACCATTTTACCTCATGTAGAGTCAGATGAACTTGTCTACACTGATTCTTTGATGGCTGACTCACAGGTTGGACTCCAGAATCTTTCCTTGCTGAGGGAACAAAACACAATATGAAGCATGAGCGTGTGTTTGATTGAATTTGGTGTAACAGCTGCAGATTTATGATTTAGTTCACTTTTAGTTCACACAGGAGATTATTGAGGACACTGAGCTGATGTTTAGTGGAGTTATGGGATGCTCACCTCTGTAAGAAATTATAGTCTGCCTCGACCAAACTTCCACTCCAAGTAAACTATTCTCCTTTCTCTACAAAGAGCTTAATTATCATAGATAATTACTACACCTCCTTCTTCTACGCTTACTGTTCTTATCTCATCTGTTGTGTCTTCACTGATGACCTGACACAGGTAAACTCCTATGTTTGATTCGCTGAACTCTCTCAGCTTCAAGGACACATTTCCTCTGTCCAGCTCTTCAGTGGACAGGCCTGTTCTGCCCCCATAGCTCCTCCCCTCTGTCACCTGTCTGTTCTTATAGAGACACACACTCACAGTCTGTATTTTTAAGCTATCTGATCTCCATGTCAACAGCACTGATTTCAGGTGACAGGTGGCACGATACAGTGACATCAGACCCCAATTTGACCTCAGCACTCTGAGCTTCATCAGGGACGATAAGATGAAACTTGTCTGTGAAGGAAGAAAAAAACTCATGTACATGATCTAAGTTATGCTACATTTTTGTGAATTAAATAATATTCTGACATGAGACAGAATTATTTTAAGATTTACTGCTGCTGGAAGTTGCCATTATTCTCTACTAAACTGAAAAACATCTGATGAGAAAAATAAATGATTTCTATCTAACCACCCAACATCACCCCATCACAAAATAATTACTTGATATTTCAATACTATCAGCTTTACTGACTTGATAATCAACTAGTAGCAAAATAAATGGATTGTCTGTTTATGACCTGTTTTTGTATTGTACAGTCTTTATCAAGTGGTATAGAATGTACATCATTGTCACAGTAACATAACAGGTCTGACTACTGTTTAGGACAGTATGTTTGTTTATATGAATCATCTCAATCAACAGAATTGTTTTCCCAACTTTTTTGAGTATCCCACTGAAGAATACCTAATTTTAAGACTGTGCCATCTTAAAAGAAGTTCTAAAACATTAAAAACATTTCTAGAGACTGTGTTCTTTTCTATTGTCTTCTATTTTCAACAAAAGAACAATGTGTGAACAGCCCCTTGGTTTGTTGCTCCACTTACCCTTTCTGTCTAAAGTCTCCTGTCTCAGTTGAAGAGCGTGCAGGTTGAAGAAAAACTACAAGTTAGCAGTCTTCGTCTTTCCTGCTGTTGCTTGTGAACACTGTCACACTAGTTCAGCATTCAGATCTCTTTCACTTTTACTGTAAGTACATTTACTTTCACTTGCACACTCATTATGGGAGATTCACTACTTATCTGTTTTTTATCAGGTTGTGTGGATGTCCTTCATGAGAATGAAAGAGGGTTTGTCAGCAAGCTCAAAACTGATTTGGATGCTTATTTAAATCTATTTCTTAGTCCTCAGTTTGCTTGCCTTGTTGGATGTTTTGTGGGATGAACTTGAACAACTTTACCTGATTCTGTGTTTGACTCCTACATCCCTTTTCTACAGTATCCTCCACCCTGCCCAATCCCATTTCTCTCAAAAATAAAGTTTTGTTAAATGAATAGGCCCATGTCTGAGATTTATCATGACCTAAAAATGTGAACATTGGCAAAAATGCAGCAAAGCACATTCCTGCCATTGATTTTAAACCATAAAGTAAAAAAAAAAAGAATCTTGTGTTTCAGCTAATATTTAGATTATGAAGCCCTCTAGGGTTGAAATTGTCACAGTCTGTCACGGAAAACTCGGGAAAGCACAGAAGATCCAAATGCAGTTTATTAGTCCCAAAACAGATAAAAAACTGAGCAAAAACACTGGCAAGAGGTATTTCACAAACACAGAATCCATTAACACAAAGAAACAGAAGCAATACTGCAGCAACAAAAGACTAGGTGACT